GTTTATAAATACAACCTTCCTATGTCTATTGAAACACTACATTAAAAAAACAACAACAAGCAAATGAGTAAAGAAAACTTTGCAGAAAAAGGAAGTAAATGTAGGGATGGCTAATATCAATCCTTCAAAAACAATGCAAACAAGATAGTAGGGATGACATTACATCATCCCTACATAATAGCACAGCCAAGAATTAACATATAACAATACGTATATAACTACTACACTGTGATGCAAATGCCATCCCTACTATCGTTATAGTGGCTTGTGTCATTAAGTTGTCAGTAAGCTTCATTGGTGTAGTCGGTCTTATCTTGAACGACAATGGAGCTGCCCCTTATCAGCTGGTTCAATAATTATGTCATTTTCAAGTTTCAGTGAAATTAGAGCAGTATGTTCACTGAATTCATTAATCAAACTTACTTTACATTATTAGTATTATTCATGCTTTAATTTCTCTGTATCGTTATTATTTCCTATATATTGTGTCACATTATCATTTTCTCTATTCCTCACCACCTTTTGCCATTATTTTATTTTTCATTTTACATTTATAAAAATTGGTTAACATTTCTTATAACTATTATCACACTTAAGTCTTTTATGTGCTGTACACACATCTGTGGCACAAACTAAATCTGACACAACAAATCTAGGTTATGATCTAATTCTCATATTGAACATCCAGTTTATGTGACGTTGACATCCTTGCCTATATATTTCATCACACTCATTAAACATAATCTTTTATTCTGAAGAAGAACAGTAAACTATTGAAAAAAGAGCTCGAGTTTTGGGTCTCGTTTAAAAACCATCTTGTGTGCATTGTTTTTGAAGGATTGATATTAGTCGTTCCTACATTTACTTCCTGTTTTTTTTTTCTTGTTTTAATATGTTAATTACTAATTAGCTTTAGTAATGTGGCTTGTGTTTGTTGTCTTTTTGTACATTCTGTCTTGGATTTGGACAAATCCATTAAAGTAGTTTTTTTTCCTTTTCATTTAAATTGAGAAACAACTGAATATACTTACTGATGTGCTATAAGAAAGGTAGAGATACTAATATAAATTTAAGAAAAAATAGACCTAAGACTTAAGTGTTTTCAAATAGTTGACTATTCTTCTTCATTTTGCTTTATTCTCCTGAAAAAGAATAGTCAACTATATGAAAACGCTCGAATTTAGGGTCTTTTTTTTTAATTTATTGCAACTTTAATGTGTGATCATGTGTGCTAACTCTTTTATCAGAAGATACTAATATGCATACACGGTATTACTTCTTTTAAGTATCCTGTTTTTGATTCTTTAATGAAATATTCAGTTACATTTATCCAAACATATCTAATATAATTTTATGGAAAAATAATCACCCAAAGGTCTAGTAGTAGAGTCTAATATTATACAATTTTTCTTATTCTGAACTTAGTGTTTCTACTTTCGAAATGAAGCAGATTTTGATTTGTGGTGTAACCATGTTTATAAGGTCAGTACATACCACAACTTTGCTTATCATAACTTTCTGTGAATTTTATTTCTACTTTCCTGTCTTTTTCAGAGTTAACTATTTAACTATAAAAGCTTAGCAAAAAATAATAATTTAAATATCATTTGAGTGATTTTGAATAAATTAATAATGGATGATACTCATTCTGTGGCATATACGTAATGTTATTATAATTCCATACAAAAAAAATTTTATTTCATAAAGATGAATAATTTTGGAATCAAAAACCTGTTTAAATGTAGAGAATCTCCAGAACCAAACTGATTAAAAGTTTAAATTCTAATAGAATTGTAAATCTCTGGTGTTTTGTGTGTTTTGCTTTACTATTTTTCAGACAGTTGTTGAATCGAGTTAGATATGTAATCCAGCCATTCTCAGTGTTAAACTAGACCTAATATAATAAATAAATAAAATAATCAAAGTTTAACTTACAATGCAACTAGCAGTTGATCCAAAATATTATTTTTGATACCTCCTGTTAGTACTGTTTATCTACTCCTTTGTAAATTATTAGTCATCAAAACTATATAGTTTTATTGAACTTATTTTGTTCTTAAATAGAAGTGAATTTTACCAAATCAGGCTAAATTTTTTTTAGATACTAAAAGATGCAATTTATTTATATTCACAAACTAGAATAACGTATGACCATGTTTAGAATTATATGGGGAAAATCTGATATTGGTTTCTGATCAGTTTTTAACAGTTGGTTTAGACTATGTATTTACAGACTGTTTCAGTCTGTACCTGACATTGCCTTTACAGGTGAAACCATTGTACCCGTTAAGTGAAACATTTTTGAAATGTATAATTGGCTTTGTTTTCCTCAATTCTACAATTATAGAGTTTTATCAAGTACTGATGTTTTGAAGAATTGATTTATACATACTAATTCAATGGCATGCAGTAATAGATGTCAGCCATGACACCACTGACAACACAACAGATTAGCATCTGTATGTTTGGTTCAAGGGGAATTCCTTACCAATCAACAGTGAAATGCTGCTACATGTAAGACTTGTTGCTGAAGGAATATATAAGATCTTTAAGAAGAGAATAATTCATATGGTGAGGTTACCAAATAACGTAGAGTCAAAGCACACAATATTTCAAAGAATTAAGCCTCCATTGATCTCCTTGAAAGTGGAAAAATTTTCCATCAACATTTAAGACACCAATGTGTTCCAAAAACAACCTAATCCACAGCAGTGTCTTCATACATGAAATGAAGGCAATGGCTACAAAAGAGAATTCTTTGACACAAAAAGAAAGCTGTGTGTATATTTCCTAGTACAGTAGACAAGATAATAAATATAGATTTGAGGCTGATAAAGGCTTACAAGCCATAAATTCACGTTTCCAGCTATGCCTCAAAATCTGTGCTGTCTCCTGGATTAATGTGGCCAAAGAAACTGAAATTCCAGCAACCACATGCCTATCACATTCCAAGATGCAACTCTAATAGAATTTTGTGCCTTTGTTCAGCTTAAATATGGTCTTGGAAGCCAAACTCCACATGCAGTATTGGAAAGTATGTCAAGATGTGTGGACTGTGATTGACCCCACCATTTATTGCAAAATCTTAACATATAATGGAAATTGTGATGTTGAATAATAGAACATAATCATGACAGTCAAGTTGACCTTTTGAACATCATTTCTAATAAAGCATAGTTAACCTAAAATGATATTTTAAACAGTATAGAAACTATTTTTAATTTTTGTGTACATCAGTTTTTGTGTTTTTTTGCATAACATCTGCTGATGTAAATAAGCTGTAACTTATTACAAATACACACAGAGAATTAAGTTACTTATAAGCATAACATACAAAATAATCTAGATATGTTCTTTGAACTCCATGACAGGAAGAGTTCATTTTTATAATTCCTTTTGTAACAGTTCCTGATAGCCAGTGAGAAAATACCTTTATTTGAACTAAATAAAGAAAGACCACCCCACTGGCCAACTTTAGAATCTGAAGAAGCTGGAGGTAAGCAAGTTTTGAAATGTATTTTCTAAAGTATACTGATTTGTTTTAAATTCTTTTTGACTATGTTGCATGTAGTTGCCTTGGACATTTTACATGGGACTGCATTTTGCTTACTGTGGATGATGTGTGACTTGTTGCAAATCTCTTTTTGGATGGTCCTGAACCCCAAGTTGATCCATATTCCTTTGTTTTCCAATGCCGTTGAGTAGGATAGATCTGATCTGATCACATCTGTGTTTTGCAGTGGAAAGGGCTGTTACATATTCCTCTTAAAACCTATTAATTTTCAGTAGCATCACATTATCTAGAAATTGTTAAAACAATTCAAAATGTATTTCTGATACATGCTGTTTCATTGCAACTATGTATATTGGCTGTGGTTGTCATGTAACTTTCTTATTTGTGTATTTGAAATATATTTATGTACATGTACTGAACCCTCTGCATATGATCTACATATTTAACTGTTTCCATCATCTGAGACTTTGAATATACAAGTATAAATATTTACAAGTGTATTAATGCAAGAGTTGTACCTAATTAAATGTTTTTGCACAGTTGTAAAATTAGTATCTTATTCCATGCCTTAGGTGGTATATTTAATTTAATGAAATTAAAGATCTGAACAGTTTCTAGCATAGTATTTTTAATAATTTAATAACACTAACAGAAAGAAATTTAAGTGTTCTAAAACAGTGATTACAATAAGTCTGACTTTCGGAAAGATCCCCATTTTATTGCTCAAAATTTAAAACCCTAGTAGCTGCTAAAAAAAAATAGATACAAATAACTATAGGTGGACTTCTGTTTAGTGTATGGACATGATATAGGGTAACATGCATATGTCACAATCAAGTATGGTCATTATTTAGTGTGGCATGTGTGTGTCACCACCAATTATTGGATGAGATTTGGTGTGTGACATATGTGATGTATCACTACTGAACTTTGGACATCACTTGGTGTTTGCACATATTTGTTTAAAATTAATAACTTGTTTTATTGAGGAACACAAATTAAAAGGTTGAAAATTAATACTCAGCTCTTTGTGTACAGATAACCCCCTTCACATTTTCACATGCATTAAAGAGCACTGCAGTCTTTGTAAATGAGTATATACTGGCTAGAGTTTCCAGATACATTTCTACTCATACACAAAACATCTTTCATTAAATGTAGAACTTATATTTTATATCTGTCAAGTCATGAGTGAAACTAATTTCATTATGTTACTAGTGTTATTATAGCAAATGTGGTAACGCAGCATTACGTGCTTTTGTGTGAACATAAATTTTCATCACTTATTTAAAAGGAAATAACTTAGTTTAAAGTTATTTTTGTCTCTCTTTAATGGTTAATAAATGTATTCTGATATTAAAAACAACTTTTCTTAAAACTGCCAGCTGCACGTTAGGAAAACTGCTGTGATATTAGGAACCAACTAATTAATTTCTAAACAAGTTGAAAATACTGAAGTGAAATTCTCTGCTGTACTAAATTTAGTTAGGTTTGGTTTTATGTTTTAAGTATTGTACAACCTAAAAAAGCAGGGAAGTACAAAAACTTCCTTGCAAAACCCCGATAAATATCTCTAGGCCGGGTTGAGTGTGGTTAGTGTGCAAGGACTGTAAATCCAAGGATTCATAGTTTGTGAGCCATTGTCACAGAAATGCTCTTTACACCTTGGAATTGTAGATTATTTATAAGAGTGATGGCTAAATCCCATTACTCAGTCAGATAAGAGAAGCCCAAGAGTTGTCACTCACTGGATGCTGGTGATTAGCTACCTTCTTTCTCGTTTACAAATTCAAAATTAGAGATTGCTATCTGCAGATAGTCTTTATGTAGCTTTGCACAACATTCTAGACCAATTCTAGTTAAGTTTGAGTTTTTTGTATTCTCTAATTAGTCTCTTTTTTTTTGTTGTTTGTTAATTTATAATTCTGTGTGTTGTATGTACAGATTTTGTCCTTATTAAAAGAATAAAAAATATTTTTGATCAAAGTAAACTCTGAACTTAATTTTTAATCATTGACCTAAGAAATGTTAAAAATTGGCAACCAGTTCTTGGTACTTTGCTTCTTAAACATATTGAAAGCTATAAAGAGTAAGTAACCATCTTATCCATTGTATCCAATCCCACATTGTTGTTTTGAATCTTACTTTTAACTTTTGTTTTTTTTCTATATAGATTATAAAGTTTTGGAAGAGAAGACAATAGTTTACACAACTGATAATGGATTCCAACTGATGTGATAACTTCAGAGTAAATTTTTGAAGAATAAGCACCAAGTTGTCACAAAATATTGAAAGTTGGAAGTATTCTCGATTTTAAATCTTTTTTTTTTTTTTGTATTGGAAGGCAATGAATGTATGTATTAGGCAACTTTGAAAAACCAACATTATAATATGGTTTTTACTGTTACTTGATTTACATCAGTAAACTTGTTTTTGCATAAGTTGTATCTCTGGTGTACGATTAACTTCGACTTTTCTTAACTGGTTATTATATTTTTTAAGTCAATCAGTGTAAAGGTAATGTTTGGTTCACTTTAACGTCTAACATTTAGACAATTTAAGATAACATCCAAGTATATATTTAAATTCTTTTGAGTACATGTAACTATAGTTTAAATCTTTCATGTTTCTTGTATTTACTTCTTTGCCAGTAGCTACACATTGTAAAAGTGTACATCTGTGTGTATAGTTTAAGAAAAGTGTATATACGTAAACTATTTATGCAATTAAAGTAATATTTTTGAATGATGAATGAAAAGCAAAAAGTAACAAAACTGTGTGTAATTTCCTAGTTGGCTCCAAGTTAGACTCAGTTTTATAGTTGCTGGTCGATTCACATAGAAAAGGGTACATTATAGCCACCTTATTTCTTGTGGTTGTCACGTAATTCAAAAAGAGTTTAATAGATACTCTCTAGATCTCAATTTTATATTTTATTCATTACTGAAAGTGATGCGTCATCTGAAATCTGTGATTGTAATAATATTTAAAAATAAAGTTGAAATAAATGGCAAGAAAGTTGTTGTTTTGTAGTAACTTTTATTTGTGGTCACAAATGAATAAAGCTGTCTTAATAGAATGCTGATACCAAATTGTCCTACTAATACCTTGTTGTTCAGAAAGGCAAGTCTTCTTGAAATTCCTCGTTATTTCAATTTATAATTTTTGTAAATTATATAACAATTTTCTAGATTATTATTCAAGAAAAGTATCAGATCTAACAATAAATATACAATTTTTATTGTTAATTAATACATTTTTTTTTACCTTAAACCATTTAACTAAGATGAAACCACTTATTCAAGTTTCACATTTAGATGTTACAATAATTGTAGTTGTGAAAGAAGTGGATCTTTTTTTTTTTCATTATGTGTGAAACTTTCTACTGCTTTAGGAACTTTCATTCTGTCGAAATATTGCCTCTTTCTATATTTGGTTATAATACTTTTGATTTGACACAATGACTCCAAAACTTAGCATCTGTTCTACAATATGAGAGTAAATTTAATTTTATTTTGCATAGATTTAATAAATAATGAAAAATCAAACATTAAAATTTGTTCAAAACTCTAAATTTGAAAAGAATTGTAATTGAAAAATAGCTTATAAAATACATTCATAGAAGAAAAAAAAAAGTAGCTTTGTATTTTATTTATATATGATTAACATTTTCTTGTAAATTGCTCTTTTATTTTTTTTCTTTGCACAAAATGTTTTTTTTTTGGTTTATTCTGCTGGATGTTAAAGCAAATGAGCAAACTTCTTAAAGATGTAATAAAAAGATACTTTGAAATATTTTGTTGCTGAGATTTAATAAAAAAAAAATCTAGAGTAACAGAATGTTAACTTGCTAATTTTGTACATTGCTACGTTTATTCAAATATTTATAATGAAATCAGGTTATTAAAGTTGTGATCAGCAAATAATTTGAATTTTAAGAGCACTTTGATATTTTGACTTTTATGGCCAATTGGATATTTATTGTTAAAGAAATACTTTGGCAAATTTTTTTTATTCCAAAAGTAAAACAAAATTGTCCAAAAGTTTATTTTTTATTGTGAAATGAAATCAGAATTTAAGTGTTGTTTGATATTTAATGTTTTTGTGGCCATGAAAAATGTTATTTAAAATGAATTTAGACATATCAATAGATTACCATTTTTCACTTGTAACACATTAATGTAGCTTATAGTAAATTTAAAAACCATGTGATATGTTTCACCAAGTTTTGAATTTTATTACTGATAATTCTTTTTAAGCATTAACATTAACTTTTATTCACTTCACATATTTTTCCATTAAGTATTGTCATAATTGTTGGAAGTGGGTTTGGAATAATATCTTATAGTAATTATGAGAAATTTTGTACTTTGAAAAATGTACTTTTTTGTATAATGGTTGATCTCTTCTTTTTTTTAATTTAAGATTCAGTGCTATGCTACTGTCATACTAAAACACACCAAAAGGGCTTTGAAGACAATTTATTAAATACTATTTCTTTTCTCTTTTCAATTTTAGCATTCCTTAATTACAAGCCCAAACATGTTACTAACAGAAAGTTATATTTATGAGTAGCTTGAAGTGTAAAATGTAGTCGTGCGTGTTAATGTGTAGCTGAATCAAGAAATGGAACTGTTGGAATATTTTTGATAAATGCTTCACGTTACTTAGTACTTGCTGTTTCCCAGAGATATCTTTTTTTGTGTGTATACTCCCCACATGAGAAGAAAAAAATGTTTTGTAGTACATTGTGAACATTTTTAACATTCACCTAATACTAATATTGCTAACACAACTAAAACTTACAGATTTTAAATACTCAGATTGGTAAGATATGATGTTTTTCTCTTCATTGTTCATTTTTAAAGTTGTTAACCATATTATTAAGATACATACAGCCAAATAAGTTAACTTTGGTAAAGAAAGGGTTGATTGCCTTTCAGTTAATAATGCCAACAAATGTCTGAAGTTGGCAAGGCTGTACTTTGTATCTATTTTTTGTAATGAATGTAATTTTGTCTTTTAAATTTATCCTCTAAAAATCAATTTAAAATATGTATAATGTAAAATTTCATTATACTTTATTCTTTCCACATTTAAACCCTTCATATCAGACTTTCAATTACTCTGAATACAAGTTTGAAATTTTGAAACTAGGCATATTATTTGAATAGCATATGTGTGATAATATTGTAGAGTTTTTAAATTACTTTAAAATGTAAAAAAATTTATCTCAATATTATAACAAAAAGTATTAAAACCAATTATTAATGTTCAAAACAAAAGTTTAAATGTATTGTCTGAATTCAGTTCTCAAATGATTTGCTAAACTTGTATGTATGTTTATAACTCTTCAAAATTCGCTGGGGAAAAAAAGTGTTTTGTAATAAATTCAAATCATCAAAATAAGTTGCCTGAAGTTGCTTCAAAAATTTAAAAGAACTTGCTTTACTAAAAGGAAAAAGAAGTAATAATTAAAATGGTTAATGGATTTCCAAATAACTAAGCTTTTATTATTTCAAAAATGAAAACTTTTTCACTGATGCCTTTTTTCATCAGAAGTGTTTAGACATTTAGTATGATATATTCTGTGTTATACTAAGTATAATGCTGGAATTTAAAAGTTTACAAAATTGTACTAATTAATTTTTTTTTAAATTGGCAACTATGAAATGAGAATGAACTTAGTGAAATATAACATACAATGGTATGGTTTGATGTATTTTAAGTATCTAATTTTCTTTTGTTGTTTTTCATAGCGTGACACATGGAAGTAGTGTTATATGTTAGACCATATTAACCTAGTTTTTAAATGTGAGCTCATGAGTTATCTAATAATCTGTAATACCTCAGTATCTGGTAAAATAATTAATATTGATTTTTTATTTTCAAAATAAGGAGATAAGAGAAACTGGTATTTCCAAACTTTTATGTTATTTTTAATAAATGATGACAACTTTGTCTTAGCTGGTTGCACATGATTTTTTTTGTGAATCTAGTAAGTGAAGTTTAAAAAAATAAGTGCTGGTTGTGTTCACGATTGAACATGTAGGTATGTAACGTGGAAAGGATGAACTGATACGTCTAGGAAATATACGTGCCAATTTACTAGAGTTTATCTACCACAGCTCTCTTTGAACAGTGATGTTTTCAAGAAGAACTACAAACAGTGTCATATAAATGTTTTTTTTTATTCTACCCAATGTTTCAACTACAACCTTTTTTTGAGTGTCACAGGTTATAAAATTGATTTTAAGTGATAGTAAACAAAATGAATATAAATCTACGACAACATAATAGAACAGAGCAAGGTGAGGAATGTTTAAAGTATTGTTAAAGAAGTTAGTCACTGATTGCAATAATAAATTTAAGTAATGAAATTAAAATAAAATAAACCTTACACAGAATAATAAAAACTAGTGCTTTTTTGATTGTTTTCAAGTAAGAATTAAGAAACAATTATACCATGAATCTTTCTCTTAGCAAACTGCTAAGTTATCTGAAGCACATTAATTTATACATGTGCAATGTATAAATATTGATATCGTAAAGATCTTGTAAGGAACATAAATGACACTGAAGGAAAATCTGATTTTTTGTATTATGTTGAAAATAATAAAAAATTATTTATTCCAGAGTAATTTGGGGCTGGTAATACAGTTTTCTTTGTAATTCAAAATATAAAAGCTAATGCATTAAATATGCACCTGAGAAAGTTATGGGCTTGTAAGGCTGATTTGTAGTAAAAATGCATGATTTTTTTTTCTAATTTATGAAAAAATAAACTAGAAAAGAATTGGTATTATCACAAAACTGGTCATAAAATGATATGAATAAATACACGTACAAGTAATGATGGCTGTTTGTTGTAATGTTAAAACAAAATTCATGCTTGTATATGCTGTTAGATTGACAGTTACTGGTAATAGATTTAGAGGAAATTGTAAACCAAACTTAACTGTAGCCGTTGTGAAAAATATGAAATTGATCTTACTTTCCCTCCATACATTGTTTCCCAATAATTTGAGACAAAATATGTATTCAAAATTTAGTGGGAAATTATTTTTTTTTACTGCTTTTCCCAATTATTTCATTCTATAGATCTTTTCTGTGAAATACCACCCAACTACTAACACAAGTCAGTTGTCAGTATACTTGTTTTCAACCATTACAAGTTGGACAATATTTTGGGAGAGTTAAATACAATGTTGCGTCAGCGAGATCACGTGACTATTGTCACGCCACCTGCTTTCTAGAACTATTCCGTTCCTTCGGGAGTGCTCTAGCATTTACTAAATTGGGGGGTGGTCTGGTACATATAAGATGGTCACGGCGTGACGTGACAATAATGTGTGTGTAGGTAGTGAGTAAGTGAACTGCAGTCGGGAAGTATTGTTGAAGTTAACGTTCGTTGTTAAAACGTTTGTAAAAGAGCGACTGTTGAAAATAAATGTATCGGTAAAGTTATATTTAGAAAGAATAAACCAGTTTTATTAAGTAAGGACTTGTGTCGCTAAAGTTTCGTCGGAACGAAGTTACGGAAAATCAATTAACAAACGGAGACGTAACAACAACATTCAAAAGAGAATTCAAAGCTATTTAAAGATGGTCCTCTGGATAAAAGCGAAAATGTGTGATGTAATTTAATATATTTAACAAAACAGGATGTTTTTTAGGCCTATTGTATTTTCAACGCTACATTCTTAATTCAATCCCTTAAGGGTTTTTTTTATAAGAAAAAAAGTGTATAACAATGTTTCAACCGAACTAAGTTTTCCATGGTTAACAATACATTTTGCTCAATACAGAACTCTATAGTAGTAATTTATTTAAGGTGTGTGTTACAACAACAATTGTTACGGTGTGAATGCCTTTTCTAAACTGGTGAATCACGATTATAATTAATTGTAATTCTCATAAGGTATTTGTATGAGGACTATGACATTCTTTATTCAGTCCCTTAGGTTTTTTTTTCAAAAAAGAAGAATGTAAAATAGTATTTCAACCACACTATGTCTGCTACATCCATTTCCAACAATGCATTTTATTCAATACTGAACTCATCAGGCTGGCTGGGATACAACAAACACAGAAGTGGCTGGAACGTTACTTATATATGTCATCATATATATTGGTTTGAGAGATACACTTATAATTTAGATGAATAATCAGATATGTTATGTATGATACATACCTGTATAAAGACAGATACACAATAAGGAATGGAAATAGCAGATATGAGGTGTCACAGAAAGTTGAAGAATGGTAATGGATGAAAGTGTAACAAATAGAAATGGAATATAGCAAAAAAATGGATTTATTGAAATTTAGAAAATCATAAAAAAATAGTGAATTGAAAATTTTGGTGATCTACTTTGAAATCAAGATAAAACAAAATATAATAATGAAAATTCAGCTTTTAAGTTAGGTATGCTGCATACTTGAGAAACAAGTTTAAGTCCTAAATTAATGCTAGTATTTTGGTTATTTTATCAGAACAGTGGTTAAGTTTGATATTTAAACTTGTAGGTACTTGTGCTTAATGCACAAGTTTTTATTGTTACTGTAATAAAGCCTAAAGTATTCTTTTTCTTTAGTTCAAAAGAACACACTAAAAAATCTTATGTACACAAAGTCTAGTGGAACTTCAAAAAAAAAGTAAACTTTATACATACTAGACATTTTCAGCATAAAGTTTTATTAAAAGGATCACAGCCATTTGACTTGAAAAGAAGCATGTGCCAAACGTTGGGTTTAAACAAAGTTTATTTCCTAAAGATGTAGAAAATTTTCACCTCTAGTCTAACATGTTAAGATTGAAAAACAAAAATTAAGACCACCTTAATTTTTTGGTGTGGTTTATAGCCATGTCTGAATGATAACTATTAATATGATTACTCATTAGTAAAATTAAAATAGTTTGTAAATGTCAAAGCTTAATATTAAGATCTGGTTGTTGTGTAGTAAATTTCATATTTTTTATAGTGTGTGCACTTTTTCTTCCATGTTTGATCATGATGAAATCAAATTTATAGTGGTTAAAATATCGGACTGGGGATCCAAAGGTTTTAATTTTGAGATGTGATTCTTCCAAATGTGCTCTTCATTTTCAGCTGTGGGTGTGTTAAAATTAACCGTCACATTATAACGTCCCCACGGCTGAAAGGGCGAGCATGTTTGATGGGACGGGGATTCGAACCTGCGATCCTCAGATTGCGCGTCGAGCTCCCTAACCATCTGGCCATGCCGGTCAGTGTTATATTCCAACACAATAAATGGTCTATATGATTGATTAATTTTCACTTAACCCAAAAATTCAAGTTTGAAATATTTCCAACATGGGTAAGGATAGCTGAAACTTATTTCATTTAATAGTTATTAAAAATATTCATGATTACCAATGTTTAGTTAAGCTAAAAAATAAAGGTCATTATATAATCAAGTCAATTAACTTATATCTAGAATATATACAAATGGATTTAAACTTTAAAACACTTTTTAGAAAATAAGTTTGGAGATGGCTTGACTGGGTAATGAAGAAAACTTTATTGCAAATGTACGATGTCGATAGGTTCGAAGGACTTTTAATAGATGTCGCTTTTGTATAGAGTATTGTTCGTTTGTTTGAAGTTATTTATTTATTTTGAATTTCGCGCAAAGCTACACGAGGGCTATCTGCGCTAGCCGTCCCTAATTTAGCAGTGTAAGAATAGAGGGAAGGTAGCTAGTCATCACCACCCACCGCCACTCTTTTGCCAACGAGTGGTGGGATGGTTCCTTTTAAAAAGACATTTTTCAAGAAGCGGAACATAAAAGAGAAATTCGCAGAAATCTTCATCCCGATATTGTCGTGTGATGTCTCAATTATCATTAAAACGTCGGGAAAGTTTGGATTGGGTATCAATTAACGTAACAGCAAATGTACAACGTTTCGACAAGGTTTTGTCATCATCAAACAGGGAACGTGATTTGTTAACTGTGATTTAATATCGAGAAGGGTAAAATCATAAATAATAAACGTTGAAAAATATGTAAAAAAAAAGAACATTAATAAAAAGAGTAAATCGCCGGATTTAAATCATTACTTGGTTAGGGAGCTCGACTCGCAAACTGTGACATATTTAGGCTTTTATTTTGAGTCTGATATTAGTATAAATTTGTGCTTTAATCGATACATGGAAACTGTATGCAAATTAAATTCTGAAAAGAGAAAAAATAAACTCGTTTTCTTCTTTTAAAATGCTACAGAACACTATCAGATAAAATGTTAACTGTATCAAAAATTTCCAGAGATGAGCAACAAGTTTTTAAATTCTATAGTATTCAAGATATTAGAAGTGCATCGTAGGGCTTTTAAAAGCATCTAGTTGTAGTGAAACAAATTTTAAAATTACTGATGTACGTAAAAACAAATTATAAATTTACATATGTATGTAACTTAGGGAACAGTTGAAACGATCAGAAACTTAATATAACATTTTTTTTCTTCTCGGTTTTAGACACAGTAAATCAATCCATGATTATTTACAGAAAATTATGCATAGAAAACTGGATATTTTATCTATTTTGTAAAGATTGTTTTATCTCTACAGATAAACAATGTCATCAGTGACTCTCCTTCTCACTCAAGGATTATTCATCAGGAATTTCTTCTGCATTTTGAAGCGTAAGGTCCTGTAGATTAACTACCATAACGGTAATATTATCGGTTGATCCACGCATATAGGCTTGCATTACTAGTTGTTTGGCTCCAAAATAAGGGTCGTCAAAATTGTTGATAATTAAGGAAACAGCTTCTTCATTTGTAAATGTATCCCACAGTCCATCAGTTGCCAGTATCATAAACTTTGCATTAATATCCTTGAGGTTAAAGGTCAGCACATCCGGTTCTGCTGTAATGAATTTTTGATCTTTCAATGGGTAATCTCCTAAGGCTCTTGATGTTGCTAAGATACCTGCAACTCTCCAAACCCCATTGAATGTGATAAATCCTCCAGCCTCCTTGATTCTTTTATGTTCTTGAAACTAGGGGGGAGTGGTTATAGTGCTGTTGATATACACGTATACACACACACACATACATATATACATATATCTATTATGTAAGAAAAACTAAATACAGTAAGAGATCTTGATAAATGACATATAAAAATCAGATGTGGAATCTGAATTTTATCTTTTTTTAACAGTTACTTAATTCTAGCACGTATGTAATTAGCTAAAATTACTCCCTTCACAAGCAACAAATATTTCTTAAGTGGCCTGGCTTAGCTTCCATGTTATTGTTTTTAAACTTATAAATCTTTAACATTTGAAACATCTGTTAAAAATAAACTAGAATTATTGTGTGATTGAAATACTTTTCTATGAATAATATGCTTGAGGACGAAAGCCTATCTGGTATATTTATGTGCGCATAAGAATATTTTCCTTGTTAAATTGTTAGATAAGTTTCGTGTTGGCTGTGAAGAAAAATTTACTACTTTGAAGCTACGTGTTGATGTTTGAATTATTTGTTAGAGAAATGCATACAAATTTTACATATGTAGAAGTTTGAAAGAAATATCTCTTAGAATTATTGAATAAGTAAACTTGTACATGGCCAGGTGGTTAAGGCACTCGACTCGCAATCTGAGGATCGCGGGTTCGAATCCCCGTCACACCAAACATGCTCGCCTTTTCAGCCGTGTGGGGCGTTATAATGTGACGGTCAATCCCACTATTCGTTGGTAAAAGAGTTGGCGGTGGGTGGTGATGACTAGCTGCCTTCCCTCTAGTCTTACACTGCTAAATTAGTGACAAACACACTTGTACATGTGTGGTTCGAATAGACACCTCGATGATGTTTGAGACTGGTAGCATTTGGTTTGTAAATTACAGCAATTTAGTTTTGTGTCATAGTTTGGTTTTCAGTTTCTCATATAGTGTAAAGTTGCACGATTGTGTTTTAACATAATGATTTTAAAATAAAATATATTAGATCTAATTAAGGAATAAAACCCATTCATCTCTTGTTCATCGGAGAACTTCGAATTTTATAGATTGATATGTAATGCCATTGAATAGAGCTTTAAGTGATTTCATAGAGAGATTTGTATTATTCGCCCGAAAGAGAGCCAAAGGCCGTCAAGAGGAGTCATCTGTTTTAACCACTCCCACCACTATATGGTAGTGAGTTGGCACTAAAATGACGTCACATAAGAGACAATTTAACGTTACAATTTGTACTGTCGTGACGTTGCCCCCCCCCCTCTCCCAGTGGCACAGCGGAATGTCTGCGGTTTTACAACGCTAAAAACCGGGTTTCGATACCCGTGGTCGGCAGAGCAGAGACAACCCATTTTGTAGCTTTGTGCTCAACTTCAAACAAACTGTCGTGATGTCAGTAAAACGTGCACATACCATGAAATAGAGAAGAAATATGCACTCTGTAGGCTACAACACGGCATGACTTGAACTTCAAAAGCGAGAGATAACAATATTTGTTACTCTTAGTTTTGGGTTTATTTACTTTTGATATTGAAACAGAACACTTGTGGGAACCCTGCGGAAGTACATATAGTTTAGCTTTTGAGTACTAGATCTGACTAGAAACTAAGCTAGATGAATGAATGATATCTCTCTACTAACAACAAACTGCAATAACGAAAGGTGGTGAGCTTTTGAATAATGAATTCAGAACTATAAAAAACAAACTATTTCATAAACAATAAACATAACTTCATTCGCAAATACACGTGTAAAATTAGATGCACATAAGATTAGAAATAAAATAAAATTTCTACTCGGTAACTGGGCCAAGCGTGGCCCAGTAGTTAGCGTGTTAGACTCTGGTTCTGTAGATCCTTAATAGACTCTGAATCTAGGTCCTTCATTTACCTCTCATTGCCACAAAATAGAGCAGAAAAAATCGTGCTCTGCACTGTGGGACCATATATAATGAGAACGATGGTCAAATCCCACTATTCAGTCAGACAAGAGTTAGTGATGTTGACTAACTAACTTCCTCTAGTCTATCAGTTTATAATTAGGAACAGATTAGATAACCTTTGTGTAGCGTGTACCAATTTCTGGAAACACGAACTAATCAGTAACACTATATGTCTATAATGTTACTCTGATATGCAAACCTCAGTGAGATTTAAAATAAAGTTTAAATCCACAATAATGGAACAATAACAAATTTATATGGATACAAGTTTCAACACTTTCAAGTGTCCTCTTCGGTTCATGTGATTGGGATTTTTTGTTGTTGTAAGATCCTAGCAAGCAATAGATTTGCATTCCTGTTTTTGGAACACTTTGAATACCTCGGTACTGGTATTCTCGATCTGAATGAAACCTAATGCGACATGTTGGCTTAGTGGTTAGGTACTTATTTTGAAGTAATGATCAGAGGGAATTAGCCACTCAGTCGCATCCTCTGCATTCCTGTTTTTGGAACACTTTGAATACCTCGGTATTGGTATTCTCGATCTGAATGAAACCTAATGCGACATGTTGGCTTAGTGGTTAGGTACCTATTTTGAAGTAATAATCAGAGGGAATTAGCCACTCAGTCGCATCCTCTGGCCAATACTAAAAAGGCTTTGAACCAAATAACAGGGATGATTGTCACCCTTATAATTCACCCAAAGCCGAAGGTGCAGAATGTATTCAGCATCATCGCAGCGAGAACCTTGGACCTTTTGACCTGCAGCTGAACATCCTAACCACTATGCCATGCTCGAACGTCAGTAGATATCGGTTTGATGTAAACATTTGGAAAGAAAATATTAGTTTATTGGATAATTAGAAAATTCACTCCATCTGTGACGAAGCTCTCAGTTTTTTGCATATTTTAACATCGTTCATACATTTTTAAAAAAATGACTCATTGCGGAAATAGGTTTTCGATTTCCTTTTTTTTAGAAGTATCACTGGCCTAAAAAAAATGATTTAACCTATTTTTCGCTTTAGTGAACTACTGGCTGTTCAAAATAGAGGGATCGAAATTTCTGAAGACTGTTTCAATGAGTGTCAAAAAAACAAATTTCAATTCTAGTTCAAGATGGAACCTTTATCATGCGAATGTAAAAGGTCCAGATGTTCAAAATGCTTAACATGCTCCTGGCGTATGCTGGCCGGTGGCTTTGGTTTATCGCACTTATATTTGTATTGTATGTATGACTTTTGAATAACGACAGAAAAGTGCAAAGGCTTTTTTTTTTAATACAGTTCGTTATTGTTTTATATTTCTGATCTTGATCGCCTATTGACAATTAATATAACTGATATAATAGTTTGAAACTATACCTCTTATTATATATATATATATCCTTGTATAACAGTAATCATAACATATAAAAATATTCAAAATATCGTGGAAAATGCATAACTAAAAATGTATTAGCGCCATCTGACATTTACTATCCTACTTTGCACCGCAATCATGAACGATTTACTTCCAAGGTGTTTAACGCACGCTGATAGGCTGAACTGTGTTCGCTGCACCAATCACCATAGACGATACATCAGTACTCGCACAGCCACTGCGGTCTCATGTAAATAACATCTTGTGTCACTGCTTTTTCAGAACTGCAGTAATTATGTATTTGTTCTAGTAATTGATGAGATTCAAGTATTTTTTATATCGAGTAAACCACTATTTTTTAAAATTCTTCCAAAGCTGGTTTAACGCCGGTTAACGCGGTAACACGCCATTGAGTCGAAGACGAGAAGGAAAGCAGCCAAAAATGATATTGGCAAATACGAATAATGCAAAAATGGCAGAAGAAAACGACCATGCCAAATTACAATTGTAAATATCAATAATGAAGTTTGACATGATGACAAAGAAAGTGAATAGGTCGTGAAAGAATGTAAAAATGTGTATGATATCAGAGATGTTTTCAGAATAAATGCTTTTATTTTAACGAAAAAATCTACCAAGTCAGAAATCGTGTGAAAGTGGATCCTTTAATTCTATTTTAAAAGCAAGTCGTATAATTACCGTCATCATTTCAGTACTGTAGGGCATATGTATGCTCTATTATCTTACCCAATGATGCAGCCCCCCCCCCCCAGTGGCACAGCGGAATGTCTGCGGACTTTCAATGCTAGAAACCGGGT